ATATATATATATAAATCCTAATTAGTATTGTTTTAATTGAAAATCACAGTTCAAAGTGAAAACATATTTGGAAACAAAAGGAGCAGACTTTACAAGATTCTTTTCTTCTTCTGCCGCCTTTCATTTTGTTTTTATTTTCCTCTAAGATATGTTGTGTATTATCTGTAATGTATTTTTCTTTGTTTTTATTTTAAAATGAAATAAATAAAAAAAATTTGAATTGAATTGAAATTTACTTACCTTCTTCCTCTGGAGATTTTCTGGGCGAGTCCCACATCAGATGCAGACCCTTGATGGAACGATCGTGCATCATTTCTGGCCTTCTCACCTTGAGATCCTCCAGAAGCTGGAGAGTGGATGTGTCGGTTTTCCTCCTATTCCAGATGAATGACTTTTCTAGAAATCTGCGTATGAATTACCTGAAGTGGTGTTTGCTACCTTGATAAAGTTGRTCCTGAAAGAGAAAAGATTTTCTGGTCCTTTAAAAAAAAGCATCAACTGTGCTCATATTTTGCTCCAAATAAAAACAAACTAAATAATAAATCTGTTGAATTTAATTTTCTTCTCTTGCAGCAGCTTTAAATATTAATGTATATAGGACACTATGAGCACTATGAAGAATGATGCACACAGCCCGTACTTGTAATAAAACTAAATTTATGTCAGTGAAAGACATTTATTCTAGTGTTGCTCATATAAAAAGGTCAAGTACACAAATATCAAGAGTCTTCACAAGTGTTTTACACATTGTTTCGTAGAAATGGTGGCTCTTTCATGGTCACACCCATCAGTCTCCTCCTCCTCACAGCACACACACTCTGGAGAGCTTGATTYAAACACAGCATGGTTTAAGACAGCACTGTGGACAGATAGACTGTGATCAGGGCTGTGACCTCTGTGATAACAGAAGCTCATTTCCATTTCCTGTCCTTGTTGTAGCCTCTCTCACACACACACACACACACACTGCAGATAGAGACACACTGCATGTTCAACAGACTTTTCACATTTCCAACGCAGTACGGCCACCTCATCAGTTCACTACTTCATCTTAAATAGAGTTCACAAAGGACAGACATTACAAGAAAAGCTATTTTACCTACATTAATGTCCACAGTGCTTCCTTCACTGCTCCACATCTCCTGACATGTTAAACTCAACCAGAGCTTTAAAGTGAAAATGACTTTCAGATCCTGCAGACTTCTCTTTAAATCCACACCACCTGCTCTCATTTCTAAGAAATTCAAAGAGCTAAAAAAATATTAATCAAGATTTGATTTTGATAATTAGAACAAAACAACATCAAAAACAGCTTGCCACTTTGGATGTTTAAGCTGTGCTGAAACAAAAGCGGCCTTTGATCATTCCATTAATCGCCTTTCACATTTTCGCTTTGGAAATTTCGAGGGAAATAAAAGAGATGAAAAGATCAGCAAGCGGATGGTTAAGTCTTCACAAAATGAGGCCAAAGCAGCCAGGACAAGGTCCTGATGGTGCAGAGTCAGGCTGTCAGCATGCATCAGGGTCACGTCACACATGGAACACAGAGACATTTTTTATTGCATTATTGTTATTTTGCAGCAGTGAAAGGGTGGTTTGCACCACAGTGAAGTGTCTGAGCATCAATCAGAGAAATTTCTTTAAAGGGATCCCCGATTAGTTGTAACACTGGACTGTACATGATAAACATATACTTTAACTGTAAAATAAAGACTGTAAAAATACTGTAGGATGTTCAGTTTTTATAATTTTTAAACTAAATGTTTAAAAATATATTGCACGGACGGGGCCATTTTGTTTACAGGCAAAGCATTCTGGGTAAATGACGTGGATAGGTCCTCGGTGCGAGGCTGCTAGTGATCTATATCCACCCTGAAGGTTAATCTGGGACAATATCTGATGATCGACTCTTTTAAATGAAACCAGAGAGCGTCTGAACGTCATCATTTACCCAGTATGCTTCGCAACGTTAACAAAATGGCACGATACATGAATATACTATTTTTGAAATAAAAACTAAACGGCCTACAGCATTTTTACAGTCTTTGTTTTACAGTTGAAGTAAATGTTTATTAAATTATGTCTAATGTTACAAGAAAMCAAAGATCCCTTATTAAAAAAAACAAAACAAAACAAAACAAATATGTCTTTGTGTGGTTTAAATCATTTTTTCTGGTTTGCCTTTTTATTCCAGAAATGAGGAAAACAAAGTGACAATTATAATAATAAAAAACAACAATCAAAAAGGCCTTAACATTTTGAACAAAACCTAAAGTTGCACTCACTGCTACATTTAAATGCTAAAAGCTAACAAAGGACGTTTGCTTTAGCAAACTCTGAACAAAAAACTGATTCACTTTTATAAAGAAAGAAAATGTGGCCTTTAAGTTACATGAGTCAATGGATGAGAAAACGAATCAATGCAAATTTTAACATGAAACTTTAAAAACTCTTAATGCTAAAACAGTGAATAAAAATATTGCTGTTTGTTTCACACTTTGTCAGCTGAAGAAAACGAAACACAAACGTCTTTGTTTGGCTGCCATTAAAATACATGAATCACTTGCTGCTTCTCATTTGTTTTAGTCAGATATATCTTACAGCTGGACAAAAAAAACAAAGTCTGACACCAGCCACAGTCCTGGTCTAGTCCAGTGAGAACCGAGCAGAAATGTGTAAATATCAGGCAGGTTTTTGGATGACAGGAACAGAACTCAGCGAGCCAAGCTCCGGATGCTGCGCAGGAGTCTCCTGCTGTACTCTCTGTGGTCCAAAGGAAGGATTTCCATGACCGTTACCTTCACTCGACTCTCATCCTGAGGAGGAAAGAAACGTCTTAAATTAATCAAAACATGTCCTAAACCTTTATGACTTTATGACTATTATTATCCAGCTATGATTASATTATCAATCTGAAAACAACTTTGCTCATCAAAAAATCCACTTTGCCAGCAGCTACAAAGATAATTAAGTCATGTTGAAATAATAATAAAAAAACTCATGTTCTGTTCTTAGAAGAGCCAGCCTTTCTGTGTTTTAGGAAAAAGTTGGGGGTTTGTTCCTTCAGTCTTTATAAAATCAAACTTTAAAGCTGAATTTTTAGCATTACAGACACACAATCAAAATTTAACAATGCACGACGAAAATAAACAAGTGGTCTTTRCTAAACARAAAACTGTCCATTCAGACCATGGAWGGTGACATTTTCCATCTCTACATGTAAACAAAAGCAAGATACTCTGAAGATATTCTTCTTAGACTATTAAAAAAAAACAACATGCTGTCACTTTTCCAGACATGTGTTTCAGATAATATCTTCAAGAAGAAAATATTGTGCAGAGTGCAATAAGATAAAAAAAATAACAATTACAAATCAGTTTTCGAGCTATTCACCCTTAATAAGTTGGACTAAAAGCCACCAGAGGCATGTATTATAATGCTTCAATTTTTCATTTTTACATCTCTTATATTAGCAGATAATTTTATTCAAAGCAACATCCGAGTGAGTTGTGCTTTCATCAGTAAGCAGAGGAAAAAAAATATCTACTCAGACAGAAGCACCAACAGCCTGACTGACGGAGGATTACTCCATCGCCTGCAGCCAGAATAAGGAAGGGATTTCTTAACAGCAAAATCTTACTTCATTTGATCGCAGTCATTATTGGAAGTATTAGGATGAAAGACGGAAGACAATGGAGTCATTAACAATTTATCAAGCATAAACTGCAATTTAACATTGGAACCATGTGTATAGGATTACACATATCTTTTAGCATCTTAATTTTTAACCACCTGAAGACTGATAAATACACAAACAAATAAACAAAGGGGAATAATTTAAGATTGAAGTTGTACATTTAAAAGGGCGACAACTCATTTTCACACAATAGTTTTCTTTTTAAATGACAAGGTGGTGAAAGAAAAAGGTCACATTGTGTACATGTACAATAGAGATGAGACGTTCGTGAACGATCCGAATCTTTTGAACGGCTCTTTACAACGAACGATAGGAGCTGAATCACGAGCAGCAACGAGCCATTTGTAGTTTTAGTTCTTTATTTTTTTCATACTTAAATCGCTCCCGCTTTGCTTTTGCACTGAAAACAGGCAGAGTTGTGGCATACAGAAGCTCACGGTGAAAGGGGGAGGGGGGTTTCCGCTTGACAAACACATGGTTCCACCCACGTGACGGGATGACGTCATTACATACGTCTACGTGGTGACGTATTTCCCTARGTGATGATGTAATACGTTCAAAATCGAACGGCTCTTTTGAARYYCTCTACYAAACAAACGGCTCCCCAAGATCCGGATCCCTTCAAAGAGCCCATTTATCCCATCTCTAATGTACAATTATTCCCTTCACATCTAAAATAATGCTAAATAAAATGATTCTACACAGCAAAAATGCCAGTGTTAATTTAACACCCACAGTGTTAATTTTAACACCAGCAAAGTGTCTGTGTCCACACTCGCTGGTGTTAAAATAACGTTTGTGAAAGTGTTAAATTTTAACACTCATTTTTTTGTTAATTTAACACCGACCAGTGTTTAATATTCAACATTCTTGGTGTCACATTAACATAAAAATAGTTAGTGTTAAAATATAGCGTTAACAACAACACCAGCCAGTGCTAAAAATTCAACAAAACTGGGTGTCATATTAAAATTTCAACAGTGTTAAAATAAAGTGTTAAAAATATCACCAGTGTATTATTATTATTATTAACAAAATGAAATTGTTTGAAAGGTTAACAGACACCACAAGGTGTCAATACACCATCAAATTGAGAGTGTCTTAAAAGTGTAAATATAATACTCAGAGTTAATATCAAACTCCCTGTAGTGTTGCATTAACACTACTCAGTAGTTAGTAGAAAATTATAATGGAGCCACACTTCACACACCAGGACATACCTTTCACTCACGGTGTCGATTTTTGGCCAATAACAAACTTAAAGTTGAACAACTTGATCAAATTGAACAAGAAAACTAACCAGAACAACTAATTTTTACTCTCATGAACATCTTTAATAGTCATAAACATGCAAAAGCATCATTTCTGTATGATTTCTCAGCAAGGAATGCTGGGTAAATACTGGTCTGTCTGACATGAGGTGGAAGAGGGRGGGGCTTTTCAGAAAACTTCTTTCAACACTGCATGGTGTCATAGAACAACAAAAGACTTAACTGTGGGCGGAGCTTATTTAACACTGTCCAGTGTTGAGACAACACTGAGGAAATCAACACTGTGATTAACACCAACACTGGGTGTGAGTGTACTCAAAGTGTTAAAATAACACTAGAGGGTGTAAAATCAACACTCAAAAGTTTAACACTAAAATTTTAACACTCCTYTTTTTAGGGCTGGGAGATGAGGCTGAAAAATATACAATATAAGCATTTCATGTCCATAGATAATTAAGTAGTTTTTTGTTTTACCCATTTGAAATAAGGAGCAGGAGAAAAACAGGTTGATTAATTTTTTTTTGTGAAGAGAAAATAGAGAGAGAGAAAAACAGAGAGAGAGAAGTAATTAGAAAGATAGAAAGACTGAAATAGCGATTAGGAGTATATTAAATATACACCAACAAAACACAGGACCACACACCCAACATCTGTCCGCTCACCTGAAAAATAAATGGATAAATACATTCAGGTTGATTAATGCCGCCATACTGGTGATGTGACCTRTCCTCTTTTATCCACAATTTCCTCTTGAGAAGTTGCACTTGCTTTTACTCCACATTGTACTTTTTATTTTTAAGCAGTGAGGTACGATGGCAAAACACAAAAGAGCTACTGTGCGCATTGCTAAGCAGGTTGTTGCTAGCTTACAAATGAGTGAGCAAGTTAGCTGATGCCACCAACCTTGCTTGCGGTCCTGTCGCACTATAACGTTTTAGACAATTTGTGAAATGTTTTTAATGTCTAAACTACTAATAAAAGTTATACATTTTATAAGTTCCTCTGCCTACATAACCCAGAATGCTGTGCAGTTCCGAATTAGAGTTCAATGAAACTATCAACCTTCTAATG